GTAGAACCTTCGGGCGGACTACTTAAATAGGCACTCAAAAGGTGCACGTGTGGCTTGATGTACCATCATTGTAATTATATATAAAACTTCATCCATACTCTAATAAAAAGTTCTCCAGACCAAAGAGATCATCTTAATATTAAAAAAAAAAAAAAAAAAAAAAGATTTGCTCAAGAGAAGGTTGGATAAGTAAATAATAATAAAATATAATTTTGTTATTCTGATGCTTAATTCTTTCATAAATTACAAGCTTTTTTTATAAAGAAAAAATTTTTTTACAATAAATTTAATTTATTAAATTATAATCTATTTTTAAATATCATGAATATCATATTTAAATTTATACCTTTGAACCTTCCCAAACTGATATGCATAGTAGACAGATTTTGTATTAGTATTAAAAGGTTATTAGATTTGGAAAGAATTATAAACTATTAGATTTATATAATAGAAACAAACTTTGTAAGTTAATTTTTTATCAGATTTAACAAGTTATCAGTTTTGAGAGAATTAATTTAGAGAGGTTCAACAGTATAATATATTTGAATTTTTAAAATCTGCCCATATATACTGTGGTATTAATTAAAATTATATATTTTGATTGGTTAATAGTTACAGAAAATTATAAATAGATCTACAAAAATTAACCAATCGTACAAATGTCTGCTCATAACAAAAGCATCCCAAAAAATTCAGGAATTGCTACAAATATAGAAATATATGACTTATTATCTTATTAGTATAGCAGTAATCGACATAAGTATCCAAATTTTTAGCAAATAGGATTTTAGATAGTATCATATAGCAGGTTATAGTGCAAATCTTATTAATAAATTTAGAAGTTTTTTAAAGCTTCTAACAATTATTTCTCAATAGTTGCTAGATCAAATTCAATAAAATCTTTTTTATTTTATTTCTATACTTTGTACAATTAAGATAAAAAAGTTTGTTGAATTTGGTTAAGTGGATATCAAGAAATTATCATTAAATTTTTACATTTTCAAAATAAAAATTAATAAATTTTTTCTTCTTTAAACTTTAAACAAAGATTTCTTAACAACTAACTATTCAAATTTAATGAATTTTTTTTATTTTAATTCTGTGTATTTATAAAATTAACTCAAAAAAAAATTGATCAAATTTAAATAGCAAGTTGTCAAGAAATTTATTAAAAGTTAAAAAAAATTTAGCTGCAGCTTTTTTTTAAGATATCCAAATTTGAACAAAGTTTACTTAGTGCTTATTTGATCAAATTTAATAGATTTTTTTTATTTTAATTCTATAATTTATAGAATTAAAATAAAAAAAGATTTATTGAATTTGACTAGGTAAGTGCTAAGTAATCTTTGTTCAAATTTGGATGTCTTAAAAAAAAGACTGGCTAAATTTTTTTTACTTTTAATGAATTTCTTAACAACCTGCTATTCAAATTCAATTAATTTTTTTTTATTTTAAAATGTGACTATATATATTAAGTAATTTCGATATAAATTTTTTATATTGACTTTTTAATTATGTAAAAAATATATATAAAAAATAATTACAAGTAAGATAAGAGCTAACAAAAAATAAAAAAAGGATTCTTCTGATTTAATTATAAATATATTTTGTATATCAATTGTATATTTTATATATATCTAAATAAAAGAAGCATATGCATATTTTTAAATTCACTCTATACTACAATTTTATTTATTACTTTGATATATAGAGCTCTAAATACACATTTGCAAATCCTTCACATATTATAAAATTTTCAAGCTTCATAATTTTAAAATTGATTAAAAACATATTATACAAAAAGCTTTAACTAGTGATCTTTAAGACCATATTTGCAACATATTGGTATATGCTGAACATTAACTGGTGGCCAATTAACTTTTGTATAAATTTTCATATTTATATATATAATATGATTACTATTTATAAAATGTAAGATAATCAGGTTTTTTCAATAAATAGGTAGTGTTTCTAATAGAAAAAACATGCTCTGTTTATTTTTCTCTTCAAAAATAGCAATAGGAATCGAGAAAGTTTTAGTAGCCAATTGAGTATAATTAGGTGATAAAAACCAAAGTGAAGGTTGACAAGGTGACTCTCTTAACTTTAATATCTTTTTAAGCAAATTGACATCATAACCTAGCCAGTCTTTGTAAATTTCTATATGCTTATTTAGTTGACTATTTATCACTATCATCTTGAAATAAGTATTTTACTCTTCCAGATTTTAAAAATTACCAATGAATATGACTTTAAATACACTATAAAATTGACTTAATGTATATGGTATTAATACTTTTGTGAACCCAAACATGTAAAAAGTGCTTTTAATTGGCCTTGAATAATTTTAACAAATATTTTTTTTAATTCTAAAATAGCCTTTAAAGGAAGTTTATAAATGCCAGGAGGATTTTTGTTATAGCTATGAACAATAGTATGATGTCACTTTAAACCACTCTTTGTTTTATAGCATTTTTCACAAACAGAGCAATTATATAAAAGCTCTTCTGATAGCTAATTATAATTATATAATAAATATATTATTTTTTTTATAGTATATAATATATAAAGTAAAATTTAATATTATTATATACATACGGACATTTCATAAAGCCAAATTTATTTAAATGCGTTCTATAAGCAAAATACAAATAAATAAACTATTATATTAAAAATATATATATTTAAATATAATTTTACTATTTACAATTACCTTTGCTTTTTTTTGATGGGTTCCAAGGACGGATAATTGGTTAGACGCAATAATTCATATATTAAAAATTTTGTTTATTGTGATTTTAAAATATAATAGCCATGATTTGTTGATCAAAAAATGAATCCTTAAAAAAATTTACATTGTTGGTGGCAAAACTGCCAAAACCCGCTGCACCAAAACCGACGCCACGAGGCCGAAAACGTGATGAAAAACACGAATCGGGGCCCCCCCAAAATCGGCTAAAAAATCGGAAGAACCAGTTTTGCCCCAAAAGCCCCACCGCAAAACAAGCCTGAAGCAGCCACAAAGATAAAGAATTT